TTGGAGGGGGTCTCGGCGGAGGGCCGCTGGGGGGTCTCGGCAGAGGGCCGGGGGGGGGTCTCAGGGTGGGGGTGTGCAGGGGATGGGCTTCCTAGGCCAGGCAGGAGCCTCAAGGGCACTCTGGCTCCCAGCTGACAGTGGTTAAAGCCAGAGAGGGGCTCTAGGTGCCCTGGGACAGGGGATAGTTCGAGTGGGGCCATGGAGACCTGAGAAGCCCAAAGGGCCGGCGTGGAGGGAAGACACAGCCTTGTGGGGCAGCGTGACACCAGCATGGAGCTGTCCCGGACAGCAACCCAGGCGGGCAGGGCCCGAGTCCATCCCTGAAGAGGGTGGGGCCCCTGCTGACCAGGGCTCAGGGGGAGGCCCCCCAACCCACACAGCCTGGGTGGGTCTGAGTGGCGGCTGCTTCTCTCCTGCAGGCCTGGTGAAGCTGGGGGTTCACTGTGTCACCTGCCAGAAAGTGGCCATCAAGATTGTCAATCGTGAGAAGCTCAGCGAGTCTGTGCTGATGAAGGTGAGCGGGGCCCTGGGAGGAAGGTGGTTGTGGTTAGATCAGGGAACAGCACAGGGGGCTGGGACTCAGCCTTGTGGGGACCTGTGGAGCTGAGCGTGGGGGTCCTGCAGGCTTCTGGTGGCAGGGCCTCGGTGTCCCAGTTAGAACTGAGAGGGGGCCCCTGCCTCAGAGCAGCCTGTCCCATGCCGGGCAGGGCCCATCTTGGCAGAGGGGAGCCCCGCCTTCCTCTTCCCCTGGGGCCTGGCCTCCATGCGGTGGTGTCTGGCCACTGTGGATACCAGGCAGGCCACCCTGGGTGGAGGACTCCTGGCCTCTGACCCTCCTCTCAGTGGGGAGGGCACTGCCCCAGCTGCAGGGAAGCCTGACCCTGGGTGTACAGGCAGAGGCTGCGGCTCCCAGCTCCTCCAAGTCTCACACCTGGTGGGACCTGGGCATCCAGTGTGGGGCCCTCCCAACACCGGGACCAGTGGAGCCTCCCGCCCCACCTGTCCCTGCATTGGCTCCTTCAAGGGCAGTGCTGGTGCTGGGGCTGGGGCTGAGGAGGGAGAGGGACCTGGGCTGGTGGGAGGAGCCCAGAGAGTGGAGACTTGTGGGAGGTACTGATGCTTGGGGACCCTTATTTACACTCGGAGTCCCCCCAGCTGCTGGGGGCATGGAGGAATTAACCAGACTGTACTGGGGAGGCCAGGGGACCCCAGGGGGAGGTGGCAGCCGCACTAAGGACTGCCTAGATGGGGCTGGCAGGCTCTGACCCCGCCTTGGAGGAGAAACCAAGGCCCTGGGAGTGACGGGCCAGGACTGCACCTGGTAGGGGGAGACCCAGTGCAGGGTGGGGCTGGGGAGAGCCCCATGCTGAATTTGGGAGGTGCCTGTGAGCCCTGAGTAGAGGAAGGAGGGCCTGGAGATGCGGAGGAGGAGAGGCAGCCCTGACACCTGCAGGCACCACGCACAGATGCCCACCTGGAAGGGAAGGGCTTGGGACAGGCTGGCCAAGTCACCAGGGCTGGGACCCCATCACAGGACTGGCCCCAGCTCCAAAGCCTTGTCTACCCTGGCTCCTGAGTTCCGGGTGCCCCAGGCTGTTGCCTTGGCTGACCCCCACACTGCCACGGCCACTCCTCTGTGCTGGGCAGGGCCCCAGGTGGCCTTGACCAGGCTGGCATGTCTGAAGGAGGAGCCCCTGCCCTCACCTCAGAGCAGGACTGGGTGTCCTGAGTCAGGTACCCTCAGGAGTCACTTCTGCCCCTCCCTGGAGCCCTGGGACATTGCCATCTGGGAGCCTGTGGGTGGGGGACACGTGCCCTGCCCAAGGCTGGCACACCCACTCCACACCCCACACACAGGACACTCACCCCCACCTCGTGCCAGTCCTGAGCCCACAGAGGCCTGTCCGGCACCCAGCTGTGAGGCCTCCACTGTGAGGAAGGCTGGAGCAGGGGCATAGCCTGCCTGGAAAGGCCTCCACCTGTCTCTGGCTGGGAGCCTGGGAGGCCTCCTCCCCTGCAGCTCCAGGCCCCATTCCTGAGGCTGGGCTCACACCGAGGGCAGTGCCAAGGCCCAGGCTGCCTGTCTTGGCAGAGTGGGGAGGGGCCCTCCTGTGCCCAAGCTGGCATCAGCACAGGGCCTGGGCTCCCTCCACCATGGCCCCACGGCCCTCTGCCCTCTGTACCAGCCAGGCCCCAGCTGAGCAGCCCGTGTCCCTGCGTCCCCCACAGCCAGCAGCGAAGGCGGTGTCTGTGGGGTGATGGGCGCCCCAGCCCTGGGAGCCTGACGTGCTCTGGTCTCTCCTGCGCAGGTGGAGCGAGAGATTGCCATCCTGAAGCTCATCGAGCACCCCCACGTCCTCAAGCTGCACGACGTTTATGAAAACAAAAAATATTTGTAGGTATTGCTGGGTCTGGAGAGCTGGGGTGGCAGAGGTGGGGCTGTCGCTGTAGGGCGGCCGGGTCAGGGAGACAGGCAGCCTGGTGGGCGGCCAGGGCTTGGGGAGTGCAGGGACTAGAGGCCAGGGGTGCCAACTGCACCCCATCAGCCCTGGCCCCGCCAGCACCCACAGCTGACTGGGGAGGGTCTCGGCCAGCCCGACGTGCCTTGTGCTTCTTGACCAGACCAGACCAGACACCTGCCCTGTTGGGGGCTTGCTGGTGAGCCTGAGGCCAGCAAGGGGGACAGGCCTTCTGGAGGGGAGATCAGGGTTTCAGGTCAAGGGGCGGGAGCACCTGGTCCTCCCCACAAGGCCACACTGAGCCTCCTGGCCTCTGCCCAGGGCTCCTCCAACCCATGGAGACACACCCCCATCCCCGAGGCTCCCCCACGAGGCACAGCCTCCAGGTTCCCACCCTGGCTGGACTCCGGCTGCCAAGTGTGGCTGACCCCGTCACCCCACAGCCGCCGAGGCCAGCAGAAATCCCCTCCCTGTGCCAGGTGTGCCTGTGTATGAACCCCATCGCCCACACCCAGCCGCAGCCAGCTCCTGGAGTGGGTGCAGCAGTCACTCACAGGACGGGCTCCTGGTGGGCTCTGACGGGGCTTCCCGGCGGCGAGGGGCGGATGCTGAGGGCTGTGCGGGCTGGAGCCCCATCGGACTCTCGCTGGTTCCAGGGCAGCGCCCTGACTACCAGGCGGTCCCGGCCAGGCATCTCCGGGGCATCAGGCACTGTGGGGGCAGGGGACATGCAGGGCTGGACTGAGGGGTGAGCTGCCCTCGGGTGACGGGTGAGAAGGCTGGGGGATGAGCTGAGAGCTGAGTGGGCTGAGGGGTGAGAAGGCTGAGGGGTGAGCTGAGGGGTGAGCTGAGGGGTGAGCCAGCTGAGGGGTGAGCAGGCTGAGGGGTGAGCCGGCTGAGGGGTGAGCTGAGGGGTGAGCCAGCTGAGGGGTGAGCCAGCTGAGGGGTGAGCAGGCTGAAGGTCGAGCTGTCTGAGGGCCTGGGCAGAACCAGCTCCTCCCTGTCCCCCAGCAGCGACTCCTGCTCTCGCCGGCCTAGGTTCCCACATGCCCTGGGGAGCACGGGCAAACGGCCAGCTTCAGTGTGTTGCTGGGGAGAGAAAACCAAGGGGTGGGGTGCGGGGAGCTGCCTTCCCCCACTCCCATGAGTGGGAGCACAGCAACTGTCACCATAGGCCTGGGGGGCGGGGCCCGCCCTGGACCCTGATGGCGGCGAGGGGACTGTGAGGAGGGCATGGCTGCTTTGCTGTGACGTGGTGCCGGAGCAGCGGGTCCTGGAGAGGGCAGGACAGGAAAGAGCCCAGGGGGTGGGCATGGCTGCGCTCAGGGGGCTTCTCCCGAGGTCTGGCCCTGGGTGCTGTCCCACACCCTTTGCACACCATGTGGCCTATGCTGAGCCTCCAGTCCAGCTGCCCTCCTGCCCACCAGCCCACCCCGTGCCCCCACCACAACGTCTGCTCCCATCCCTGCACTGGGCCCTGGATTCCTGCCAAGACTGGCTCCTGGGACAGCTGGTCACTGCAGTCCTCACCACTGCTCTGAGCAGGTGTCCAGGCCCTACTCCCTCATCCTGGGCGGCCCCCGGCCCAATCCCTGGCCCCACATCACCACGGCCACACCTGGGGCCACTGCCCTCATAGGCCTCCCCCAAACTGGTTCAGCCTGGACGGAGCGGCCCCCAGGAAGCCTGATCCAGTGTCCCACAGGATGCCCACCGGGAACCAGCCCCTCAGGACCCTCCATGCAGCTGAGACCCCATGGGAGGCCAGGAGGCCACCAGGGCAGGAAAGGGAGGGCCACGCCATCTCCTCGCCCCTCCCTGCAGCCCTCACACCTCCTTGTCCCTGCCCACAGCAGCCCAGAGGGTCCCTGGGCCCCTGGATATGACTGTGCAGTCTCTCGCTGGGTGTCTGTGCCACTGCGGTGCAGGGGATGACGGGGTGTGAGGGCCTCGCCTCACAGACCTGGAAATAGCAGAGCAGGCAGGGCAGAGCCCGAGGCCACCACATGCTGCACCCTGCCCTGACATCCACACACTCAGCGTGTGGTTCCAAACCCTCCCTGTCGGCTGTGCCCCAGACCCATCCCTTCACCCACCCTCCGTCCCACCCCATCCCACCCCACCCCACCCCACCCCAGGGTCCCTGCAGACTCATTTGAGGCCCATCCCAAGGAACCCAGATGGCCTGAGGTCTGCCCTGCAGTCAGGTCCTCTGAGCTGCCTCCCAGCCCATGGGAGAATGGGGGCGGCCTGCAGGGAGGCTGGGCCAGGAGGTGGCTGTGAGAGGCCCTGGGACAAGGGGGGCATCGGCTGGCACTGCAGCTGGGCACACTGGGGGCTCGTCTGCTGCAGATACTTGGTGCTAGAACACGTGTCAGGCGGGGAGCTCTTCGACTACCTGGTGAAGAAGGGGAGGCTGACCCCCAAGGAGGCCCGAAAGTTCTTCCGGCAGATCATCTCAGCGCTGGACTTCTGCCACAGCCACTCCATATGGTGAGTCCTTGCCCCCTCTGCCCCCGCTCCCAGGGACCCACCCCAGCGTGCCACCCCAGATGCCCCATGACCCGAAGGACTACACCCCGCTATGTGCTATTCCAAGGCACCCCATCTGTCCCAGGTGCCCCGCCCCCAGGAGCTACCCCTCA